TCATCTAATCCCCGCTCTCCTCCTGCTCTCCTCCGCAACCCCCACGCAACATCCCCTCTACCTCCCACCCACGAACGCCCGCCCCCCCTCACGTCTCGTGCATCTCCTGCCTGCCACTGCACTACCTGCGTGCTGCTTAACGAACAATGAGTTAAATTTGCCTGGTATCTTGCCGGGGGAGACACCGCGTACCTCTAGCCGGGAGGCGCGTATAAGTGGCGCTGAGGTATGCTCAATTGACCGCTGTCTCTGGTACTTCGCGCTTTCGTTTTGTTTATTGTTGGTTCTTTTTTCTGTTTATTTTTTATTATTCTATATTTCGTTTTCTTGTTTTGTTCCTTGTCTTTGGTCCTTCGGTTCGTAAGACTAAGGTGTTTATTTTATTGTTGTGTTTTTCCCTGTTTTTCGATTCTATATTGTTTTTGTTTTTTTGCCTTGTCTTGGTCTGTTCGGTTCTCGTTAAGCTAAGGAATTTTTTTTTATTGTTTGTTATCTTTTTCTTTTTTTTTTATATTCTAGATTTTTGACCCACACGTTTATTTTTTTTCACCTTGTCTTTGGTACATAAAGCACTGATTTTTTTATTGTTGTTTTTCTGTTTATTTTTCGTTCGATTCTACTATGTGATAAATTTTTCCTTGTCTTTGGTCTTCAGGAGGTTGTTCGTAAGCTTGGAAAGGTTTATTTTTTTTATGTTGTGTTCGTTTTCGTTTATTTTTTCGATTCCGTTATATGTGTTTTTGATTCCGGGATTATCAAATGTTTTTCTGTCTTTGCTTTAATTTGCTTGTTTTTTGCTGTTATTATTTTTCGTATGTCAGTTATATTTGAAAATAGATCGTTTTTCGTGTTGTCGGAGCTCTTTGATCTTGTTATTTTATATATTCCGCTTTCATTTCCGAGCTGTATTTTTCGGAATTTTAGCCATAATATTGTTTTTGGTTTCCTTATCGTGAGTCTTTTTTTCTTGAATTTTGTTCTGTTTTATATTTTCGGAATATCTCTATTGTTTTTGTTTCCCATTATTCTTTTTTATTTGTTTTTTTTCTTTGGTTCGGATTACTATATTTTTTTTATTTTCCATTGTTCATATCACCGTGTTATTGTTGTTTTTTTTGTTTTTTTGATGTTTATTTATTTTCCCGGATTCTAAAATTTGTTGTTCTTGTTCCATTGAGCGTCTTATTTTTATATGAGTTGCCTTTCAGTTTATTTTTTCGATTCTATAATTTGTTTTTTGTTTTTCCTTTGTGACTTCTTTGGATTAATGATGGTTTTCTGTTTTGATGCATATTTTTTCGATATCGATATTTTGTTTTGTGTAGTTTGCACTTGTCTTATTTATTTGAGAGTTTAGTTTTTTCTGTTCTTTTTTCCGATTCTATTTTTTTTGTGTTTTCCTTGGATGCTTTTTTTACTATGTTAGTTTTATCGGTTTTTTTTTTCGATTCCTATTTTGTTTTGAGTTTTCGCTATAGTCTCTTTTTTTATAATGGGTTTTTTTTAGCTGTTTCTTTATCGATTCTATATCATTGTATATCGTTTTTGTTTTTCCTATTAAGTCTTTTTTGTATTGTTTTTTTCTGTTTATGTCGATTCCTATCTATTTGGTGTTCGTTTGTTTTTTTTCCTTGTCCTTTTTTTATTCGGTGTATTTTTTGCTGTTTGTTTTTTTTTTTCCGATTACTATATGTGTTTTATGAGTTTTTTCCTTGATCTGTTTTTTGTTTTATTGTATTTTTGTTTTTCTGTTTTTCGATTTTCTGTATATTTGTGTTTTTCGTCTTTTTCCCTGTGGTGCGATTTTGATTGTTGTTAGTTTGTTCTACTTATGTTGTTTTTTTCGATTCATATATGTGAAGGTTTTTTGTTATGTCCTGTCCTTTTTTAATTTTTTTTTTTCTGTTTTTTAGTGCAAGGAGATTCTAAAAATTATTTGTTTTAGTGTTTCCTTGTTCTTTGAACATGAATTGTGTGGTTTTTTCTGATTTTTTTTCTCTTTCGATTTCAAGTATTTTTGTTTGTTCTTGTTTTCGCGTTTCTTTTTTTATTGTTATTTTTCTGTTTTTTTTTCGATTCTTATTTTTTGTTTTTGTTATTATTTTTTCCCTTGTCTTTTTATGTTTTTTTTCGTGTTTTTTTATTTATGTCGATTCGATAGTATTATGTTGTTCCCTTGTTTTTCCTGGTATCCCTTTTTTATTGTTTTTTTTCTGTTTTTTTCGAGTTCATATATTTGTTTTTTGTTTTCCTTGTTGCTTTTTATATGTTTGTTTTTCTGTTGTTTCATTCGATATTTTTGGTTTTTGTTTTTTCCTTGTGCTTTTTTATTTGTTAGGTTACATGGTTTTTTTTATTTTTTTCAGGATTCTATTGTATTTTGCTTTTTCCTTGTCTGTATTTTCAATGTGTTTTTTCTGTTTTTTTCGGATTCGATAATATCTGTTTATTGTGTTTCCTGTCTTATTTTTTTATTGTTTTTTTTCCTGTTTTTTTTTTTTACCGATTCTTATAATGTTTTGTTTTCTGTCTTTTTTTTATTGTTGTATTTTGCTCTGGTTTTTTCGATTCTATATTGTTTTTTGTTTCCTTGTCCTTGAATTGTAATTGTTGTTTTTCTGTTTTTTTCGATTCTATATTTGTTTTTGTTATCTTGTCTTTTCGTTTTATTGTTTGTTTTTTTCTGTTGGTTTTTTTTCGATTCTATATTTGTTTTTTGTTTTTCCTTGTCTTTTTTATTGTTGTTTTTTTCTGTTTTTTCGATTCTATATTTTTGTTTTGTATACCCCTTGTCTTTGGTCTTCGTTCGTAAGCCTAAAAAAAGTTTTTTTTTATTGTTTTGTTTCTTTCATCTGTTTTTGTGTTTCGAGTTCTATATTTGTTTTTTCCCGTTTTTTTTCCTTGTCTTTGGTCTTCGGTTTGGCTAAGGCTTACGAGTTTTATTGTGTTTCTTTTCTGTGTTTTTTTCCCTAGGAATTTCTGTAATTTGTTTTTTGTTTTGTTTCTTTGTACTGTTGGTCTTTGAGTTTGTAAGCTAAGGCTTTTTTTTATTGTTGTTTTTTCTGTTTTTTTCGATTCTATATTTTTTCCGTGTTTTTTTATTGTGTTTTTTTTAAATCTATAAGTTAATTGTAATGCACTATTTTTATTTATTTTTCGAATATTCGTTTTTTCATTTTTTTAAGCTATTAAGTTAATTGGTTATGATATTCTGTATTTATTTGTTTATCAAGTAATTGGTTTATTATTCTCGCTGCTTAATGCTTTATAAATAGGCGTATAGTTTTATTGTATGAATTTTTAATTCAAAATCTTCTTTTCTTATTGTTGTGTTCTTGTTTATTATTATTCGGTAATTGATATATTTTTCTCTGTCTTCTGAATATTTTTTATTCAACTAATCATCTTGTTATTTTTTTGCATAGTCTCCCCGGCACATTGCAAAAAGAGCGATGTTGCCCAATATCGATTTAACCTCCAATTTCGACCCTTGCAAACAAGAAAGGATGTCAAACCGAAAATAATAAAATCAGTGACTAGATTTAAACATGGCAGAACATCTCAAGGATTTCGAATAATGGATCTAATGAGATATAGAGTTATATTACATTGGCCAACGCTGAAGAGTTGTCCCCAATATAAAGTCAGACTATAGGTGAATATACATTTTGCAACCACTGCAGGGTACAGACTATAACGGAATGCATCGCATAAACAAGTGAATCAAGAAAGGGTGGCATTACAGAGGCGTTTTTTTTTTGACTCTCGTGCTCGATGACGCGTGTCTCTCTCTCTCTTGCCTTTGCTTTCTCTCCTCTCTTTTTCTTGAGAGTCTCTGTACATCTCTGTCGTTTGTGCATCTCCGAAGACCGGATGGAGATTATCTCTGCATGACTCTCCCAGATCTTTCTTTCTGAACCCTAACTTCTTCCCACGGCTTTCTTTGACCAGTGCTCTGATCGTACTAGTCTGAGTCACCGTGTCCCATGTCTTTCTGTCGTGTCTCGACCTCTACTCTCGTTCTTTCTCTCCTCTCCTTTTTCTTTCTCTGTCTCTGTCTGTCTTGTCATAATTGTCAAGTTGTCGTCTAAGTCATGTCTGGTCGTCTCGTCTGTCTGTTGCTCTGCTCTCTGCTGCTGCTCTCTCTCTCTCTCTCTCTCTCTCTCTCTCTCGTCTCTTCTCGATCTCTCTCTCTCTCTCTCTCTCTCTCTCTCTCTTTGTCTGCTTGTCTGTCCGATTGTTACCTCCATTTACCGTCCAGTCTTTGCTTCGCTTAAATTTATCATCCAATACTTATTTACTAATCTATTTGCCTGCATTCATTTTTATTAGAGTGTATTTAATTGATATTGTAAAGCCTAACACATTGTTGTTCAAGGTGATTGGCGACGTGTCAGTCCCGCGATGTTATGGTGTCATCACACGCAAGCCGTGATATGGTGGCGTGTGGGTGTATGGTGGGTGGAGCGTGTGGTGGTGTTGCGAGGTGGGTGGGGGGTTGATGGTGGTTGGTAGGGTGTCGTGTTTGGGTGGTGTGAGGGACGGTGTTGAGTGGAGAGGTGGTGTTGTGGTGGTGGAGATGTGTGTTTGTGGGGTGGTGGAGAGAGGTGGCTGGGCGAGGAGTCGGTGGTGGTGGGATGGAGTGGTGGGAGAGGGTGTTGGTGGGTGGGTGGAGGGTGTGTGAGATGTCTGGGAGGTATGGATGGAGGTGGTGGTGTTTCGTCGGTGGTGGGGGTTGGTGTTGGTCGGTTGGTGGTGGTGGTGGGATGTAGTGAATTGTGTGGTGGAGACTCGATTAGGGTGGTGGGTGTGTGGAAGGGAGAGGTAGGTGATGGAGGTGTGTGGTGCGTGGATGGTGGCTTGATTGGTGTTGGGGGTTGGTAGTTAAGCGTGGTAGTGGTGGAGTTTGATGGGGAGTGGTGGTGGTGTGGTGGAGATGGTATGGTTGTGGAGGTCATGGAGAGGAATGGCTTGGTGGTGGAGATGGTGGTGTGGTGGATGTAGTGTGGTGTTAGTGGTGGAGTGGCGAGGTGCTGGTGGTGGAGTAGATAGGAGGGTGTGCAGCCGGAGAGACATAGAGGAATGTAAGTAGAGAGGATTTCAGGGCCGATGAAGTGGAGTAGTGTGTATGGATGTGTGGAGTGCAGTGTGGAGGTGTAGTGTAGGGAGTGTGATGTGGTTGCTGGTGTTGTATGGAGGTGGTGGGTTTGTGTTGGTGGACAGAGAAGGGTGGTGTTGTGGTGGAGATGTGAGGTGTTGGTGGTGGTGAGGTGTGGGGTGGAGGTGTAGTGTGTGGTGGTGGAGGTGGTGTGATGGTGGTATGGTAGCTCGAGTGTGAATGGGAGGTGGTTTTTGGGGGAGTGAATGTGGGCCCGTGTGTTGTTGCTGGGTGTGGAGGGTGGAAGAGCTCACAGAACTTCTGTTGGTAGTGGTGGTGCTGGTAGAGGTGGTGTATTGATTTGAGTGGGGAGTGGTGGTGGTGGTAGGAGGTGGTGAGACAGGGGTAGTCAGTGGGTTGGGAGTGTTGTTGTTGAGGGAGGTTGGTGTTGTGGGTGGTGGTGGAATATGGTGGAAGTGGTGATGGGGGTGTTGTGGTGTTGTGGAGTCTATAGTAGAGTGGTTATGTGGTGGTCAGGGTCGGTGGTGTGGGGTAATGAAGTAAGTAGAGGTCGGTGTGGTGGTGAGTGTGGAGGGTAGGTGATGCGAAGGTGGTGGGGAGTGGTGGGAGGGTCGGTGAGAGGATGCGTGATGGTAGCTGGGTGGTGGTGGTGGAGCGGTGGTGGTGAGACAAGGTGGTTGGAGGTCTGGTGGGAGTGGTGGGATGTTGGTGGTGTGTTGGTGGTGGTGGAAGGTGGAGCCGTGGGGGTGGTGTTGCGGTGGTGGTGGCGGAGGTGTGTAGTTGGTGGAGATGGTGTTGGGTGATGGTGGGTACGGTGAATGTGTGGGTGAAGGTGGTGTTAGGCTGTGGTTGGAGGATAGGTGGGTGTTGGTTGTGGTGGTGGTTGGTGGAAGGTGGTGGTGGTAGGTGTGGAGTGGATGGTGGTGGTGGTGGTGGTGGAGGTGGATGGGTGTGGTGTGTGGTGGGGGGGTGTTGTGGGGCGAGGTTGTGGTCAGTGTTAGGTGTGGGAAGACAGGTTGGGTGGTGGTAGGATGTGGTGTGGTGAGATGTGTGAGGATGGGTGGTGGGTGTGGGTGGTGTTGGAGGTGTGGTGAGGGGTGAGAGGTGTGGTGAGAACTGGTGGGCATATGGATGGTGGTGATGGTGGTGTGGTGTGGAGGTGGTGGTGGAGCGGATGAGTGGTGAGGTGCGGGGTGGTGTTGGGTGAACGGTGGTGTGGGATGATGAAGGTAGTGATGGTGGTGGCTGGTGGTGGTAGGGTAGATGGTGGTGGTCGGGGGTGGTGTCTGCTGTGTGGTGGTGTGGCTGAATGTGGTGGAGAGCAGGTAGTTTGGTTGGTGGTGGTTGTGTGTGTGGTTGTGGTGGTGGATGTGTGGAGGTGGTGTGAAGTGGGGTGTGGTGGTAAAGTTGGTCTTGCGAGGTGGTGTTGTTATTGCTGTTGTATGGTGTTATCGATGTTGTTCTAATGTCGTTAGGTTTTTTGTCGTTGGTTGTTAGTGTTTTTGTCGTTGTTGTGTTGTAGATATGTGGGCGGTTGTTGCTATTGGTGTTGTTGTGTTCTCGTGCGCGGGCGATGAATTATATGTGCTAGTATGGAGGGGGGAGGTAGAAGGGTAAGGGTAAGTAAGGGGAGGAGAAGGAGAGGAGAGAGAAAGAAAGAAGGAGAGAGATAGAGAGAGAGAAACAAAGAGAAACAAAGAACCATAACCACCTTTACTTAACAAGTAAAACACAAAACACACAAAAACAAACCCCATCTCCACAAAAACCACAAACCCTACAATTAAAAAAAAAAAAAAAAAAAATCCCCCCCCCCAAAAAAAAATCCGTTTCAAAAACCTACAATTAAAAAAGGAAAAAAAATCAAAATATAAAAAAAAAAATCATTTCAAAATCAAAATCTCGAGCGAAAATTCTAATTACATCCTCCCTTCTCGACCAGTGCACGACTACTGTTCTCGGGAGTGAGGTAATCTCCTTTTATACAGCAGGTTCGGAGGCAAAAGGATTTGGTGACGTCATTTCCTTGGGCGAGGCGGGGATTAATCGAGAAATTGGTCTGTTGGTTGCGACATATTTCGATTGTGACGTCATTACGGCTTATATATGTATGATTTTTGTGTTGGTTTGTGTGAACGTTCGCGAGGGAGACGGAGATACATGTGAAAGAGTAATCTTAGTGAAGCGAAACAAAGACAAACAAAAAAAAGGGAAAACAAATAACTGGATTGTAAATGAATGTATATAGATAAATGAATAAAAAGGTGAATGTAATGATTAGATAAGTTGATAAAATAAGCATATATGCATGTGTATATATGTATACATGCATACAAATATTACACACACACACACACACACACACACACACACACACACACACACACACACACACACACACACACACACACACACACACACACACACATATAATACATATATATATTATATATATATATATATATAATATATATATAATATATATACATACATATATATATATATATATATATATATAGTATATATATATATATAATATATAATATATATAGCATATAATATATGTGTATATATTGTAATATATGTATAAGTATATATTATATATATATATATATATATATATATATATATATATTATACCATATATACATATATACATACATAATATATATATATATATATATATATAATATAATAATATATATAATATATATATATATATGTATATATATATATATATATAATATATAGTATATATATATAATATATATATATATATATTATATAATATATATATAATATTATTATATATATAATATAATATATATATATATATATATATATATATATATATATATATATATATAGTATATATATATATATATATATATATATATATTATAATATATATATATATATATATATATATATATTATAGTATATATATATATATATATATATATATATCATATATATAATATACACACGAATATCTAAATAAAAGATAAAATGAAAATCAGGGCTCGACCAGGACCCAGGATCCGAACCGCGAACATCTGATCCGACAACAATAGTTCATCGAATCCCCGCGCCACGAAACGTACACGGATAGCCAGACGGGGGTCCCACGCCCACGCCCACGCCCACGCAACCGCCCATGACTCTCCTTCACCCCCTTCTCGGCTCGCTTCCCCTCTTCCCGCGGGTAATTATTTCTTTCTCTCTCTGTTCCCTCTCTTATTCTCTTTTTCTTATCTTCCTCCTCTTCTCCTTATCCTCCTCTTCCTTCCCCTCTCTTTCCTCTCCCTCCCTCCTCCCTTCCCTCTCTCCTCCTCTTCCCCTCTTCCCTCTCCTCTTTCCTCTCCCCCTCTCTCCCTCCCCTCCCCCTCTTTCCCTCTCCTCCTTCCTTCTCCTCCCCCCCCCCTCCCTCCCCCTCCCCCCCCTCCCTTCCCCTCCCCCTCCTCTCTCTCCTCCCTTCCCCCCCCCTCCCTAATCATGCTCTTTCATACCCTTAGCCTCCCTCCTTTCTTGCTCGCTATCTCCGTCCCTTTGTGAGTTAAGAGGGAGTTGTGAAAGGCAGGAGGGCTGGGGGGGGGGGGAAGGGGGCAAGCAGGGAGGGGAGGGAGAGGTGGGGGGAAGGAGAGAGGAGAGGAGAGAGGGAGGAGGAAGGAGGAGTGAGGAGAGGAAAGGGGGGGGGGGAGAGAGAAGAGAGAGAAGAGGAGAGAGAGAGAGAAGAGAGAGAGGAGAGAGAAGAGAGAGAGCAGAGAGGAGAGAGAGAGAGAGAGAGAGAGAGAGAGAGAGAGAGACAGAGAGAGACAGAGAGAGAAGAGAGAAGAGAGAAGAAGAGAGAGAGAGAGAGAGAGAGAGAGAGCGACAGACAGACAGACAGACAGACGACAGACAGACAGAGAAACAGACAGAGACAAAGAAAGATCGAAAAAGAGATCATTGAAAGCGAAAGAGAGAGAGACAGAAAGAGAAAGAACCCCCCCCCCAAAAAAAAAGAAAACAAACCAACCAACCAACCAACCAAACACACCCCAAAAAAAAAAACCAACCAAACAAAAAAACAAAACAAACAAACAAAGCAAGCAAGAGAAGCGTTGCATCCCCGACCTCTGAGGAAGCAAGTAATAACCCCGACTTGCGCTCACAAAGGGTGATTTTTGACTCTTAATCAACAGCGGATCAAGAGAATTATAACCCACCTTCTGGTTGAAGAGGTTGCGGGGGGAGGGGGGGGGTAGGGGGTTAAGGAGGAGGTTCGGGAAGAGGGAGAGAGAGGATAAAGGTGAGGAAAATGAAGGTGAGGAAAATGAGGTGAGAAAAAAGGTATGTAAAGAAAGGTGAGGATAAAGGGGAAGAAAGAGAAGGTGAGGAAAATGAGGTGAGGGAAAAAGGAAGAAAGAGAAGGTGAGGAAAAGAGGGGTGAAGAAAATGAGGGAGGAAAAAAAGGGAAGAATTAGAAGTGAGGAATATGAGGGTGAGATGAAAGGTGAGGAAAAAAAGATTAGGAAATAGAAGATGAGGAAAAAGGTGGGAGTAAAAAGGTGAGTAAAAAAAAGGGTGAGGAGAAATGAAGTTGAGGAAAAGAAGATGAAGAAAAAAGGTGAGGAAAATGAGGGTGAGGAAATAGAAGATGAGGAGAAATGAGGGTGAGGAAAAAATGTGAGGAAATAGGTGAGGGAAAAGGTGGGAGTAAAAAGGTGAGTAAAAAAGAAGGTGAGGAAAATGAAGGTGAGAAAAAGAGAATAGAGGGTAAAGAAGGTGAGGAAAGAGACGAGGAAAAAGGGGGAAGAAACAGAGATGAGGAAAAGGGCGAGAGGAAAGAAGGTGAAGGAAAATGTGAGGAAAAAGATGGTTAAGTAAAAGATGACAAAAATGAAGAAAAATATGAAGTAAAAGGAGATGAGGAAAATGAAGATGAGGAATAAATAAGAGAGAAGAAGGAAGAAAATATATCAAGAGTATTGTAGTGCAAGTAGTAATGATTGTGATTGTTATTCAGGTTAATAGTAAGTTGTAAATGTAATAATAATAGTGTTGATAATGATGATAATAACAAGGACGATGATAATGATAGCGATAATATTGATAATAATGATAATGATGATAGTAATAATGATGATGATAATAATAATGATAGTGGTAATGATAACAGGAATAATGATAACAACAACAATAACAAAATTAATGATAATAGTAATGATAATAATGATTATGGACCAGAAAGTGCTAACAAAATGAACTAGAAGCACACAGAGACCGCATACCTCCGCCAAGGCAATAAGGTCGCTTTTGCAATAAAAAATATTCACACTTGAAGAATTACATTAAAATCGCTATAATTTTTACTTAAATAATTACATCAAAATACATCAAAATTAAATAATTACATCAAAATACATCAAAATTAAATAATTACACCAAAATTACATCAAAATCACTATAATTTTTACTTAAATAATTACATCAAAATCACTAAAA